GGCTTTATAAACGAGTAGACCGTGTAGGTGCCTCATCCAATACGAGAATCAACGCAAAATGGCCAAGTTTTTTATTATCAAAATGGTGTATTTAACCGTCAGTGCGGTAGCGCGATTCAGAATGATGGTTTGTATAAGAACAATAATAGTAGTAATAATCATGTGATCATAATAGCACCGCAAACAAGGGATACAGAAAATAGCTATTCATGACTACAGCTAGAAAACAAGCGCGCGCAGTTGCACTCGAAGACGGCGTTGTAGCAGCGAATGAATTTCAGAGAGATGAGCACCAAGAATCCAGAAAATTTCACAGTATGATGCAAATTCCATGGAGGATGGTTAACACGAAAAAAATACAACTGCAGAGTAGACAGTGATTGCTATTAGCCTCAACTATGTTATTTCAGAGTGGTGGTAGTGGTCAGAAACCATACACCCAGTATGTATAAATTGAAAACCCATGACCGAAATAGGCGGCTGTTGATACGAGTGTTCATAGTTTGTGCAAAATATACGCTAAAAAGTAGCTGAAAAAGCGAATAGACTCAGTGGGATCCATCAGTACTTGTAGAGTTGAGTAGGCGCATCGATATGAGGAAATACCGGGTGGGACATTCGCATAGACTAGATAAGGGAGGGAAGACGTCACAGATATTAGAAAGCGAGCAATCACCACGGTAAGACCCTCAAGTTTTCGTCGAGGTGGTTTCCATTTTCGTCGAGTCTGGTTCAGAGCTACGCTGGGCTGATGATCGTTGATTCGGAACACTCTGAGTTGTGACAGACGCCGATGTTGACGGTAACCTTTTCCGATAACCATAAAATCCATCGGGGACTTCGAACTACAACAGAAAAATGGACTATCTGATCAGATACGGCAAAACCAGATGCTGAGGCGAAAACGTGCAAGTTTCGGTCTCTTTCGCGATGCAAACAATATTGAGGGAACAATCTCCTGTGTGAATTCGACCCTTCCGTACATACAAAACAGCAGCGAGAACATGCCAACACGTTTTGCCACAGTGTGAAATGAAGGTGACGATGACCGTATGAAGCATATCAGTGTTTCCGACCTGCATACCTCGTCAGCAGCAGAGGAAACAGTCCATCTCTAAAACATTCTATTTTTAGGAATAGGACAAACACCAACTCCAGTCAACCCCCTAGAGACCCTTCCTCGGAGGTCAGACTCCTCTTCCTTAAGATGCATAGCGTGCCGGGTTCCTGAAACGTGGAGCACACGTGCCTACCACCAAATGGCCCGCAAGAAAAGACGAATCGAATGCTTTATCGGTACAGGAGAAACAGCACTGGAATTCCGAGGTGATCATGCAGAAAACTGTCGTGCCAAGAATCAAACGTTTTTGTGCTTGTGACAACAACCTGGAATCTCATATCCTTTTGGTGACTGATCGTTTATGTTTTCTGCAAAGTCCATTTGGAAGGACCGGTATGTAGATGGTGATTGAAGTGACCTCCTTATGCACGAAAATGTGTGGGCTCCCAGAACACACACAAAGTTGTGCTGTGCGGAACTGCACAATGTGCGAACACTGGGTGCTTGGAGGGTAATACCTATTCGTCCTTTGTGGTCGTTCACGTTAAGAGGTTGGATAGGTTATCACATTTAAACGTCAGTTGCATTGTCATTTTCAAACAATAAGAATGCGCACGAAGATGGACGCAAATGTCGGGAATACCAAACGTGAACTATGGACTATTTGCACTGGTTTAGGCTGTCGCAAATTTGCTTAGTAAGTGGACTGAAGCTGTATAAATGAAGTGGCTGAGATACACTGGTGACAGGAGAATGCCGGAATACGATGAACGACTAGTTATGACATTTGACTACCAATAGCATCAGACAATCAGTCCAACACAAGTTTCAATGAAGTGTAACTCCGCGGTATACCACTACACGTCTACAGAACCGGCAATGAAACCTTTACCCCAGACATGTGGATGACCACAGAGAGTATTGTCTGAGAAAAGCGTGAAATATTCCCGTGAACCGTGTATACTAAGAATGGGGGCCACAAAAGCTTAGTGCACTGGACCCCTACTATAATACGACCGGCGGGTACCAATAATCTCATGATGGAATCGAAACGTCTAAATAACATAGCTCAATGGCGCCATCCTCTAGATGAACCTCAAGTGACACAAACAAGCAACGGGATGAAGTGCGGGGTTCGTAAAATAAAGTCACAACTTCGTGTCATTCATGTAACGCATCACGCACAACCGCTACCTCACCGCTACGCACCACTACGCTCCCCAATAACGCACTGATGACGTCATCTCGATTGGTGATGAAACGCTTGCAATCAAATTGCCCAGCTCAGCGAACAAGCCAACGACCATCTAGCGCATCACTGTTTGAAGCTTGTTGCTCGGTGAGCCCAGCTAGATTAGTGGAGTAGTAAAGACACTTTCCCCTCATTAGTGGCCAATGGCCTCTTATTTGTACTTGCTTTCTCACTTATGGGAAGTAATAAGTTATGTCCAGGGATATGTAAACACGGAGCCACGATGACGTGAGGAAACTACGTTCTAATGGAGGTAACTCATACAATTATCGGATTCTCGTGCTGAAAAACACTTGGTCCTTGTAAACACTCACACAAACGAGGAGTATCGAAATGTCAAACTTCCCTTCCTCTAGCTTCCAAACGCAGCAGCACAATGAAATTTGGAGCTGTCAACCAATTTTTCCAAAATAGACGACTCACCACTTCACGAATACTTCTCTTGTCTCAGTGTTCAGACCTAACCAATACGATATGGGTGTACCATATTCGAATAATTATAGCTCTGATAGGCGCAGTTCTAACCTTTGAGAATTGTGCGTTGGCTTCTTCCTCCACACACACACACACACACATACACACACACACACAGAGGTACCGAGGTACCACAATGTTCCACAATTTCCAACGTAACTCCTTGAACTCAAGACTGTTTTACGACATGACTTTGCACTTAATGGGTGCGAAGCAAATGCTGGAGGACTAGACGACTTTCACTAGCTCTTCCAGTGACGATTGTGCTCCCTTATTGTTTCAGAAAATCAGAAAAAAATGCATAGTTCAGTTCAGCAATGTATTCGCTCGGAGGGACCTGAAGGTCGGGAATTTGGAGACTTTCTAGAGCTCTCCTCATTACCTCACCAATGGTGAAACTAAACGAAAACTAAGAAGGTGCACATCCTTGCAGGACACCACTGTCTGTAGAGGAGATTTTGGAGGGCTCCCCATGCATACTGGCGCGCTCACAAGCATGTGATTAAAAACAGCGTGTGATGTTCACGCAGCTGCACAAGTGTTGAACGATCGTGGACATGGACAAGCGAAAATTAGAAACTCACGCCACGTATAGCCAATCACAATGTGGTCTATGTGGTTTTTAGGTTGGCTCGCATGCGGGGGGCACTATGTAGCCAGGCGGCTTCGTTTAGTACAGAACAAAAACAGTCTGTGGTCGGTGTATAACTGGGCGTTCGTCATTGTCCGTGCATCTCGATTCCAGTTCAAGGGACCAACCAAACGAACCTCAACAACGTTAAGTCTGCCGAATTACGTATTCACATCTCCGGCGACTACGACAATATGTGAGCTCTTAGTCCACTGCGTAAGATGCCCAAAGCGTAATGAAAACTATCTGCTGGGGCGCAAACAGATACTGCGGGATAACAGTGATTGTTAGCGCATTTGGAAAATACTCACACATATGTTGCTAAACGGATCACAGACAGGAAACCACCAACCGGCAACCGCTCTAACAAACACCCCCTCTACTCGGTGGTCAAACTAGGAGACCCAGGTGCTCCGGCTTCTGGATCACCAGAGGTGCTCAACCAGAATCGAGCGGAAACTGATGGTGAGACCAGCTCAACAACTACAATTGGGTCTTCAATTCCCGTTTCGGGCAAACGACACGCATCAATAAGAATACAGTCCAGCGCACATGCAACAGCACTCTGTTGTTGAGTTGGTTTCAGAGTACAGGCGGTTAAGGCTTCCAGATAAGCCGATTGTCAGGGCCATGACGACAGAGCTAACCGTAGATGCTGTAGCTAGCGCCAACATACGTACATATGGCAAACATTTTTAAGTCCTCAAGAGTGGATCGGATAAGGAAGGGGAGAAAAACTATTGCGGAAGAGAAAGATAGTAGCTTTTTTCGCCTATCCACCATGCTCTACGCAGCAATTAGGGCGAATCCGCTATAACACAAAAACCGATGTGGTATAAAAATATGTGTAAATGTGTAAGGTATGGTTGTACACGGGTTGGAATATGGCGAGGGCCTAGACAAGAGGACCAATAGGGTTGTCACCCAAAGCCTAACCGCATAGTTAGCGGAAAATCGTCAGAACAAGTTGCCATGCATGTTTAACCCCCCAACAGGAAACTGAGTTAGTCAGACCTGTATCCAGTGGCCGACCTGGTGTAGACGCTCTAGTATCGACCAACGAATCGCCGAGATACAACAGGGTCCGAGGTCTTCGTGACGGCCCGTTTTTTAATAAACAAAGGGTGACTACGGGTATTGATCTTCCACCTAATTCATATTAAAAGTAGTTGGTCCACGGAAAACACCACTAAGCTGACATATACGGTGGTTTCAAGTGAAAATATAGTGGAAGTCTGCAGTAAATAACCCCAAGGGACGAAAAAACTTCCCTGCCAAAGCCGCGCACTGACATTTATCTGTCCAGTGAGGGTAGTTTGCACCCTCCAAAAGAGGCCACAATGGTATTCACCGCCAGCATAAAATACCCCTTCCCAGAAGGGAGAACAAGGTGCCCGTATTATCTTATCTTCGGGGGATTAGTGTACTTGGATGACATCTGACCGATCTTATTTGCTACGCAACCATCAGCGGTCCAACACAAACAGAAATAGTGTAACAATCGTGTCAAGCTGCTCATCTCCTGAGGAGACTGACTTAGGAGAGTAATGAAAAACTATGTGTACGATTTGAGAACCACCTACATTAACCCGGAAATCAGAGATAGTCCGGTACTTTCTCAGCAGCTTGACAAGTTGCGGATCCATTTCAACTCGGCGGCCACCGTAATGTAGAAATGCCCAGAATTTCTCCAAGCCATATAGATGTCCATTATGATAGTCACGAAGCACTTCTTCCTGAAAATTCAATCAAGAGGAAATAATATTACACAGATGGTTGCGAGACTGAAAGAATGTGGGATTCGGAGGAGCCGTAGCTTCTATTACGAGCAGCCACCTAAGCCAACGAATGTCAAAGACGTCAAGTAAAACGTGGTGTTGGTTTTTCAAAGTATCAGTAACAATGAGTAACGTTGCCTAAGTCGCAGACGCGAAATAGTTATCACACATGTTAATAGAGGTTGGTACGATTGACAACCTGGAGTGGTAATGAGATCGGAAACCAAAAGGTTCATTGAATTCATTCTAAATTTAAACATCGCACCGAATTGGGTCGTTTTCAAAAAGCTTGAAGGTAAGGAAAACAGGTGGGTTCTTTTCGAGGTCGCTCAACGCCAAAATTGTCCAAGATTACACTAATGGTTCAAGGATCAAAACAACCATTGCGAGAATAGGGTAACTGGGCAATGTGGCGGTATCACATCTACCGTGCTTCCTTCGATCGGCATGGGAGCTAGGCACCAAAAGGGTACTATAGCTGAACGATGATTATTAGATTAGACAGTGATACAGTAATCACACACTAGAAAACTGGCTAAATAGCTCAAAGGCGATCTCAAAATTTGCTTGCCAGAGGTAATGTGACTTATGAAGCAGGGCTGACCATCCATTCTGCATAAGATTCTAGAATTTTAGTAAGCAAGAAGCTGTCACGGCGCGTGGCAACTTTGTTCCCATAGGATAATTAGGAAACACTCAGGAGCACACAAAAAAAAGCTAGTCAAGTCGGAATGCACTCGTATCTTGCATTAAAACCTTGAAACTTTGAAGAGTAAAATATCGATCTGCACTGATCGTCATTCTGTCCAAAGGAACGTGGGCGCAACCAATTTTCTGCCTGTATTGCGTGCAAAGGTTGGAAAGAACAAATTAGCCAGATCGATAATCACTTTTAACACTAGTCAGAGGACTAAACAGGTAGTGAGAAGCAACAGAGACCCTACACCACCAACAGCTTAGCAAGTGCAGCACATGTGACGTGCGCCGACGGATACATACAACTTACCCTCAATAACGGTAGGGAAATATGTGATCTAAAACCTGACAGCTAATTCGCTGACACAACTTGGTTGTATTTATCGATGAAAACCTATGTGAAAAAGGAACCAAATAGCTCAACCTGCATTAGAATGATGTAATCGAAGACGATTGTTAACGCATCGAAAAAAACGCTTTAACTTTCACTCTGTTTCATGGTTACGCATATTGAGTGGCTAGCGCATGACAAAATAGGGCGCACCGCGCAGACGGAGCAATGTTCAGGGAATTTGAAGTGAATGGACAATGGCGGAAAGTACGACTGTTCGCCAAATTCTGTTGGACGAAATATGGTACCAGCAGCGCGGTGGCTCCTACTTTCTTTTAACTGACCGAAATTCCTACGAAATACCTTATGAAATTTGTACATTACGAGAATTCGGCTGGATGGCAAGCCAGAGCAATCGGTCGGCACCTGAGGGCGTAACTTTGGGAATAGTCGATTGTGAATGTTAACAACCTGTAATGACAACTAAATCGCGCGTTCACCGGACAAGAATTCATCACTTCATGTCGATGTTCTTCCTGATAACATTCGTGTTTGTACTCGCGACACGCTGGTTTAAACAGTCCACATCTTGACACAGTTATCCAGATTAGCCTATTATTACTAGTGATTAAGAGAAGCTTTTGACGGCATTAGCTTCAAAATGGAAAACGAATGAACACTGATGGTCGTGGTGTACTTATCACGAGATTGTCACATGGAGAACAAACACAGCAAAAATTAGCTGCTGATCAAAAGCCAATTAATATAACGGAGCTACCAATGCATTCGAAATGCCAAAAACAAAGCTGCTTCCGGACACTTCAGACGGATTGAGAGACACCGTAACACCACGGGGTCCATGGGTGGGGAAGTGAAACGCCCGGACGATTTTTTTAAAGCACACAACCAAAAAGCCTCATGTGGCGAATCCTCAGAAGAAATCAGGAAAAATGCGAGGCAAACGAATCACACTTCCATACATCAAGAGCAGTTCGGAACTGATGGCAACCGGCAGTCACCAGCGGCAACTCACAGAAGGCGATGCTCATTAATTACACTATCTTTTAAGTAATGGTCGGAACGCAGTTTTAGGAATCACATCACTATCCGGAAACGAAAATGCACTGGATGACCGAAACATCCGTAAAAATTCAACTCTGAAGGTGTGCGATAAAAATTGGCATGTGCAACTGAATGCTTAAGCTACCAGGCTTGAGTTTTATTAACAGTAACAAGTTTCTGGTGAAGCTTTCGACAAACTCATTTCATGGTAGAGAGAGTTCTCATTATTCGGCAGACGATATACTGCGTCACAGATCACAAGGTCTTAGGATGCCTACTGACACAGTTCATTGGTGAATTCAATGGGGACCGTGCTTGGGACCTTGATGGAACAAAGACGACTGCCCAAGAACTTCTGGCTGTTATGAACAGGCAAATAATTTAATGAGGTTGGTACACCAACAGTGGCTATTGTCATTGTGGCAGCGAATCATGAGGGATGTCCTTTGATAAGCTTGCTAATCCTACAGCATCTCACGCTGAACATTCATAGCACTATCATTTCTACTGAATCATCGCTAGTTGAACTACGTCCTATCACAACGACAAGAATAAGTACGTCCAAACGAGTTTCACGTATCTTGGAAGCTGTATTAGTTAGTTCTGCAGTGTGACAGATGAGGTGAATGCACGAATCTGCAGGGCTAGGGCCGCGTTTGCTAACTTGAGACACCTATGGCGTCAAAATGGTTTATCCCTGAATCTCAGGGGACGTGTGTATCAAGCTACAGTACGGGCTGTTTTGTTGTATGGCTGTGAGACTTGGCCTATTCGAGCAGCGGACCTGAGACGTCTTCAGGTGTTCGACAATCGTTGTCTCAGAACCATAGCTCGTGTGGGTTGGTGTCGGCGAATCCGTAACGAGGCATTTAGAAAGCGTGTTTTCGGTTGTGTAACGGGTACTTCCATTGAAGAATGTGTCCAGCACCAGAAGCTGCGTTGGTTGGGACATGTGTTACGCATGCCGAACCATCGTTTGCCGAAGAGAGTACTGTTCTCCATGTCCAATTCGGAGTGGCGTAAACAGAGAGGTGGCCAACCCTTGATTTGGCAGAGGAGTATGAAGGAGATCACGAAACGCTTGGATGCTGTCGGTGCTACTCGTTTTCCAGGATGGGGACCGCGTGATCCTCACTGTGCCTGGTTGGAGACACTACAAGATATGGCTGCCAACCGATGTCAGTGGCGTTCTTGTTGTCAGTTTCTGTCCAGATTGCCTGAGTGAATGTCTGGAGGTGTAGGCACCTCGGAATGATTGTGTTAAGCTAGCACTAGTCCCTCCCCCATCCACCTTTATTTTTTTCTTCACAATGAGGCTTTCAAATAAGTCATGGTTGTACGGCAGTGAAGCATCGGTGTTGAACACCGATGTCATGCTGTCGATGATGATGATTCTTCAAGCTGCTGATTATCCGGTGTTTGCCACCATAGTCGCTAGTTGCTAGTACGGCCTCTCTAGATTTGCTGATCTCAAAGATATCCAGTGTTCATTGAGTCGAATCCGATGGGTTGGACAAACAATTCTGAAAGCTGACGACATTGCCTCATTAACTCGCCTCCATTCATCCTCCAAGCAATCTTCGTCATCCACATGACTGTGCCTTTCCAGTCACTCTCTAGCCAGATCAGCTCGATACGCGTCAGCTACTAAAACGGGTGTCGAAGTTGATGAACAAGGCTGCTCTCTCTCTCTCTCTAGGCACGCATAGTGCTTGCGGAAAGCGAAGTGCTAAGCGGGCCCGAACGATAGCGTGAGCAGAGTCAAGTCGCGTTCCCCAGAAGGAACGACAATCCTTAACTGAGGCTGTCCATCGGTAACTGATAGCCATATGGTCCAGCTGAGTCCACGACTGTCTTGTGGTAGATGGCCTCCAAGTAACTCAGTGTGTGTTTGCGTTGGAATTTCGAGCTGGCCAGGAGCAGATATGATCTGCACACAATCGAAGAAGCCGCCCTCCATTGTCCGTACGCTCAGCATCGACTACAAATCAATCACCTAACTGCCTTCTTCCGGAATTAGTCGTCCGAACTGGGCAGAAATATCACCCGCCAGTGTTACTATATCCGTCCTTCTTCCCGACCGAGGCCGTCGTGACACATCTTGATAAAAGTCGTTATTTTCAGTCGCAGAACTGCTGTTGGATACATTTTCGTTTGTGCTTTGTCCGTTGGTTCTGTTGCTACGAACCGATCTCAGATGGAATAGTTAATTCCGTTTCTCACACTAGCTCAGATTGGAACTATCGGTCCGTCGTCTGCTCCAGGTAGGGTCAAAGAAAACCCTACATTCTCCCACTGCCAGGTAGGGTCAAAACCCTACATTCTCCCACTGCCTCGTGGGTCAGACTTTTGAGTCATAGGCTAGGGGCAGGGTCCCCAAACAAAACCCCCCCCACCTCCGTTGGTCAGTCCCAGTTTCAGCAACCGTAATCCAATTTATCAGTGTTCATCTGTACTGTTGTTCTGTTGATCCCTCTAATCCGTGGTTATCCAACTCGATAACAGCACAATCGAATTGCTCACAGGCCCGGTTCAACGCGTAAGACGATAACTCAAAGTACTGGGACTCGGAGTCATAAAACCGTCGTTATTTTATTTCTCTCAGTCTATCTGATTTCGCTATGAGTGAATGTGTTTTGGGTACCGCCAAACTGTTACAAGTGACTTCCTGCGGCTTATGCAATATAAGAATTGACCAGCCCGCCGACTGCCAATCTACCCAACTGTTTTGTCTCCATCCCGGCCTCAACGCCCACCTGCGTGCTAAGTTTGTACTTGTGCCACAAGTGATATTTTGCGTATCTCTAGTTAGAAATGTGAGCCTATTCTTCGAGTGCATTGTGCGATTCCGTCTGATGTCCCGACCGGC